TACCATTAAATTGTTCAATTATCGTATTTGCTTGTCTATTTAGTACATATGCCTTTGCTTGTATTGATGCATATGTGACTGCAGCCGCATTTGTTGTTAGCACGGAGCCAGTAAAAAATGCCGGCGGAATGACCTAGTTCTGACAGCTCCTCCGGCCAGAGCCCCTCCTTATTTCACGAGGAAAGGAAGGGAATTCTTGCTCAAGGGTTCCATCGACGGGTTTATAGTCTCTTTTTGCTTTTTGGTCAACTCGTCATCTATAGCTTTATTAACGACCGCTTTTACACCACCGATCTCATCTGGAGTTGTTTTTGAGCTCGGCTCCCGTTCTTCTCCAAACAAAGTATGAACATCTCAAGCTCCTTTATTTCGTTTTCAATAGCTTTTATTCTGCAGTGGCGCGCAAGGTCGACATCCCTCTTATATTCTTCGGTGACTCCGCGACTGGTGCCGGTGGTGTGGACCCATGTGAGGTAAGAACAACGAGCTATTCGGAAATGATGGAATAAAATATTGGAGCTACTACTGCGTCCAATTTCCAGGTTTACTGTACTGTTCCTGGCAGAACCAGCTTGTTAAGCAGTACAACGAAATATCGCGTGACAGTGGGCGAAATTCAACGAAGAATCAGTCCACCTGAATGTCTTAATGCATCACTTCTTGGAGGTATTCTTCGCAGGTGTGTCTCGCATGAGACAATTCGGCTGATTTTCCTCGAATTCTCTGTCTTTGAGGGCCAAGTCAAAAGACGGTGGAAAAACGTTGCGGGATTCCCTGAGAAAGATTGGACTAGCTCTACCAGCTGGAAGACGTAAGCAAGCAAACGTAACCGCATGGACAGCTCTCGTCGAAGGTGCGTGTGGTTTTTCAGTTTTTTTCTTGTAACAAATTATTTGGTGCCTCTTCATCACTGCTCTCTCTGCCAATTGATCACTCGCCACGTATAGACCTGCGGCGAGTGATCAGATGATCGGTGGGCGTGCACTGGCCCACCGCGCCAAGATTGAGCCTTAATAGGTCGCCGAGGTCAACTCCTTCGGTGCCAATTGCGCTTCAGTCCGCACCCTCAGGAGGTCCGCGGGTCCCTCAACTAGGTGAATTACTCCTTCTTCGACCTTCATTCTAATCGTGAATTCGTCCTTAAAGGAACGAATTCGCGGGTAAGGACCACCTATAATGACGTTGCAGGTGAGAAGTTGGTCAATGGAGAAAGAAAAAGTAGAAAAAAACGTCGGGCAGGGGCTTAGACAGGGACTCCCCCTGCCGTTTAGGGAGACGTGTGTTGGACGAGTTGTCCGAACCTGCCCGTAGTACATGCGCTCCAATTGCAACTGCTGGCAAATAGCTGCATGCTTGCAAATACATAACTATTTGCCAGCAATCGAAATTGAAGCGCTTCAATTGCGTTCTTATGGAATCGACCTCATACAGCGCGGCGGTCCCGCAACGACCGCTAGTCAAGCACGGCGCTCTGCACAGCGTATGTTGAGCGATCCGCCTCGGTATGGGTGATCCGCCCCCTCCAAGAGGACTTCGACCCCTTCCAGCGCATTTTAGAGGTAGGTTTTGAACTTAAAGACATTTCCTATAAACTTTAGTTGGGCTGGGGCATGTTTTGACCGCCTAATGACCAAGTAGTTGAAACCCTGCCTGGACTGTTGCTTTAAGGTAACCTTTATGGATAATACTGTAGACTTTGGATCTGGGTGTCAGCTTTTGTCACTCTGAGATTCTATTATTTTGCTAGATAGAGATATCGTTTTGTTCAGTTTAGAGCGAGAGGTGAAGTGCGTTTCTTGAAGTCGTGGCTGAACCTTATTCAGATATCAAAACATAATGTGCGATAGACTAAAATTTTTGATATGGTGTGTTTGCCTGACTGAGGTTTAACCTTTTTGCGTTTGGGTAATTGATCTGTAGAATGTCTATTTGTCTTCTACTTCTAATTTTTTTATGTCCTCCTTTCGTTATTTCACTGGGTTGTTTGCGGCGTGAGTTTCTTTCTGTGATACATTTCAAAGCAACATTGGTAGAAAATGTATAGCGCGAGTAGATATTATGAGCATCAATCAGAGAGTCACAGAACTATAAGCAAAATGGCAGAGGCTTCGCAATACAATTCTCACCATAAATCATGTAGTTCAGTCACTTTTCTGATCAATGGAGCGCACTAGACGAAGCTCCGTAATGAGAGAAACTAGAAATGAGAGGCTTCGCTAAGAACGTCTGACGTCAAGATTGCGCGCTCGGAAGGACGAGGGATAAGTACCCGATCGGAGGGAGAAAACAAAATTCCGTTGCAGGGAGTGCACTCATATGCAGAGGACTTCATCTCCATCCTCCACTTAAACGGATTGCTCAAGATACAATAGTTGATCGTATTGCTAAAAGACGCATTTTTCTCCTCTTTGAGAGAAAGTAAGAGAAAACTCGAAAGAATTCGAGGCGAGCGCATGGACATTGTGACAAACGTAAGACATTCGCGTCTAGTGCCAAGGGCTCTAGTTGGCAAAGGTTACGGTATGTTCCTGGAACTTATTTCTAACAGTGTCGGAGGTGCGCCTGACCTTTTCGCAAAAACGGATTTCTAGACCATGTTCAGCCTCGGCAGCCATTGCAAAGTCCATTTACCTTGGAAAAAACATACATTTAAAGTAAGGTATTAGTGTAATGAATGCTTCTAGACAAGAGGAAAGCTGACACTGAAGATAAGCATAGTATGTTGGTTTGAACAATAGAAATGATGTTTTTTAGTGTGCAATATACTAGAGAAGAATGTGTTCATTACACCTTTCCATACAGTGTACATACATAGATAAATAAGTAACAAAGAAAATAAATTTTCGTTTGAAGAGTTAGTCTTACCCAATTTAATCTAATATGTACTCTTAAAAAGAAAAATTTAAGAAGAAGCGGTGCACATGGCCAAGGACTTCGCGTTGGTTTGCGAAAAGGAGTTCCATGCTCGTGAGATTGGTATTTTCTTGACTAAAACTGGTCTGTCGATTGATCACGATGTGATGCAAAGGCGAACAATGCTTGAGAACAGCAAGTAAGATGTGTTTCGGAATATTTCACAGCACATCTCAAAATTCAACATTTAGGAAGATTGTCTCCGAGTTGTGCGACCTTCTCGCCGCTGACAGGACTCCACTGACACCGTTTGTGTCTCCGACAAGACCATTAGTCGTGTTGGATCCTTCCATCCAGCAACATCTTAGTCATTACACTTTGGTAAGGAGTTTTATAAACACTCTTTCCCAATCGTGATCCTGTATCCTGATCCTGCCTTCCTCTTATGCTATTGTGCGAAATGTCTCATATAGGCCTAAATACGTCAAAAATAGGATCTTATAGGCTACGGTGGTAAATTGGGCATTTGAGGAAGACGATTCGGCCTAGAAGTTGGACCATTGAAGCAGCAGTCCCAGTGGGATCCATACTTTTGCCACTAATGGTGTTAAAAAGATGCGTGAGCCCTAGTCAGGAACATAATAAGTGGTCGCCAAACAAAAAACCCACCTTAGAAAGTTAGAAGGCACTTGGACATGGGCCAGCGCCATTGCTCGCCTTGCCCATTTTTCGCCCACTCGCTAGCGAGAGTGGCCGTATGGTTGGGTGCCCGGTCTCTGTGTGATTTCATACAAACTGTTTCGCATTTCAAATATGTTTTTGCTTTAGCTTGAATCATTTTCTCGTTCCTTTCTCTATGAATTGATGCATATGTCTCTGTTTGTATTGTTGCGTATGCGATTGCAGCCGCTTTTCTTGCTGGCACAGGGGTCTTGTGACATCTAATCCTTTTGCTCCTCTGCGTCTCCCTCACAAGGCCAGACACCAGACACTAAGGCCCAAACTTTTGCCACAGGTTAAGTGGCTCACACCCCCACCCCCTGAATTGGCCCCATTCCCCCTGGCTCACGCATTCTTACTTACTACCAGGTTCCCTCCACACCAAAAGGATTAGATGTCATACAACCGGCACAGGCCAGCAATGAATGCCGGTGGAGCGAGCTATTTCAGACAGCTCATCCAATCTCACAACTTCCTATTCAAAGAGAATGACGGAAAATCCTTGTTTATGCTTCATCAGTGGTTTTCTTTGCTTCTTTTTCCATTTGCGGTCGACTTTCCACCCACAATTTCGTTGTCTACCGCTTTTATTCAGCGATCTGGAACTTTTGCTCAAGAAAATTCCACCTTTGAAGTTCTCGGGCGACAGGCGTAGGTTCAAGCGGAAAGAGCGACGGGTAGATCTCAAAATTGACGGATGAGCACTGAAAAGAGCGTGGAGCTGTGCATTATAAATAAGTATTTGCTTCAGATGACCCACGGATTTGGAGGAGTGGCCATGGTGGCGGTGCTCGAATCAGTGAAATCGATGATCGATGAAAGTATTAAGTACTTGGATCGGAACTGTTCACAACCGATGTACATTCCTTACAATGCCCGATGAATATTCGATAGTTTCACGTCCGGGAGTTCGTCAGCAGATTAAAGCTATGAGGCAATAAAGATTTAGGTTCTTTTCCTGTGAATTGTGCATACAATGTGTGAACTACAGATTGGAGAAGACTGGTGTAGAATTTCATTCTTTTAATATGAGGTCGAAAGATGGACCATGTAAATGGGGCGCGTCAGACATCACAGAGTCTTCTCTCGAGAGCTGTCAAACATAGCCCAGGATGATGTGGCAAGTCCCTCCTTTTTAGAAAATTATTGTGTTCTTCTGCGTGCCGGACGTATGAGGATGCACTTGATCGAATATTGCAAAACCGATACTTAACGTTGAGGAAAGCGCTACGGGGAAATGGGCAAAAGGCGCGAGGTCATGCCTTGGAAGCCATTGAATACGTAACAGGGCTGTATATAGAATTTATGCAGTCTCAAGACACTGCTGAATTCTAGGGTAGGGCGTTACGGGGATTGAAATTCAACCTAAATGCGGTTCAAGGTTGAGACTTACGTTCTAATCCACCAAGCGCCTTATCTTCTCTAGCGGTTCCGACATTCCGTCAGGACTCCCACCGAGAAACATAAGAAAGATAAATTTCAAAAAACTCACCCAAGTCAGGAGAGAAGCTGAAGACTACTAACATGAGCATTGTCAGGCATACACAAATCATGCTTTTGGTCAAGCCCATTCAAATGCCACTACAGTTTTGTGTGTGTGGGTAGAGCGCGTAGCGCTGATCATCCCGAACCCCTTTCTCTGTTAACGTACTACTGCACAACAGCGAAAACATTCGACTATTGGTCTAATTTTATCCTTCGGCGACAATGCCACCCTCTCCGCCGCGTGAGGCAATCGCAAAATGGTGGGTACCCCTTAAAATTTTTAATGCAGCTTAAAGGACGAATTCACGATGAAAAAGCAACCCATTTCAAATTAACCTAGGGATGGTGAGTGGTACACGAAAGAAGGAAGAACCATGAGAAACGGCCCAACCCGAGAAATGGGACCCCTTCCTTGCCCGTTGATTTGCATTGATGCGACTCTCATCGCTGTGCCCTCTTCAACACTACGCTCTCTCTGCTATCTAATCGCCACGTATGACCTGCGGCGAGTGATTAGATGATCGGTGGGCGTAGATCGCCAACCGCGCCAAGAGTGAGCCATGCTAGGTCGCCGAGGTCAAATCTTTCGCTGCCAATTGCGCGTCAGTCCGCACCCTCAGGAGGTCCGCCGGTCTCAACTAGGTGAATTTTCCTTCTTCGACCTTCATTCTAATCGTGAATTCCTCCTTTGATACATTTTCAAACTACAGTTTCTATAAGGAAGCTTTAAAAGATCTGCGTTTAGCACGGATGATTGGAATGTCCGATAAGATCAAGTATATTGAAAATTTTAGAATGTGGCATTCTGCTTCCCACGATAAACTGGGGTTTTTCATGCTTTTTTTCATGTTTTTTTTATGCCCACACTAACGTCTATCACGTTTTCTACTACTCTCTGAGTCGCGCCACTCCCACAAAGTAGCAACTCTAATACTTACAACCTCTGACCTCTTATACTCACGAAATTCGTTAAAAAACAGTTATTTGCTATTTGGTACATCCCCATATATCAAAACAAACACGAGTACAAGGATTTAATTCCCACAGTCCTTACTGCTGATCTTACCCTCTCCGTCAGGCAGACAATTATCGATAAATAAAAATAAAGTATTCATTCCCATTCAGATATATGGATGATTTGCTAGTGATACATAACCAAACCGAAGATGACATTGACATTCAGCTAGCAGAAGTGTATATGAATACACTTGAATTGAAGAAAACACATTTAAGTGAAACATCTAGTAATTATCTGGATTTAACAATAAGTATAATAAATATCGACGTATGAAAGTTATACGAAAAGCTGAGTTGGAATGAAATGGTGCCCCGGTAGCGTAACTGGTAGCGCACTTGCCCGGAAAGCGAGAGGTGCGGGTTCTAGTCCCGCCTGGGGCGAAAGTTTTGTTCACAACCCAGCATTCTTGTGAAACATTCGCAACGCGAACTGCGGCGTTAAAACAGCAGTTAACAAACAAAACAAGTCAAAATCCATTGCTAAAGCTTTCAGCCTCGCGGTCATTGCCGATATCGGCTAACCGGCTCAACACGTTAGACGTGTGAGTGCTGAAAGCTATGTACGCTACATACATTAAACTGATTGGAACGAAATTGTGGGCGCCCCGATAGCGTTATATCTCGAGCAGCAATTGCCAAAAAAGGGTTTTAAGTGGTTGGGGCGCGCTTAGCTCGCGCGGAAGGAGAGAGTACGGTTCTAGTCCCGCCTTGGGCGAAATTTTGTTCACCACCCAGGCATATCTTGTAAATAATCGAGTTTAACGCTAACTGTATAACAAACGGATGACTTTCAGTTCAAGGTTATTAGATTCCCACATAATGACACAAATATCTCCATAAATAATAAAGGCTCCGTTATATACACTGAAACACTCAGAATAGCTAACACTTGTTCTGTATTTGACACATTTACCGATAAACTAACAGAGTTTATACGAGTGTTACTAGGAAATGGCTTATCATGAGGACTTTATCCAGTTAAGTGAAATTATAAAATTATAATTTACTGTAATAAATTTTCAATGGCCTAATAATTAAAAATGTTAATAAACATGAACATAAGACCTCTACTCATTTCGAATCGATTATTACTTACCTATTAGTAGGAGAAGTCTATAAACCTCTTTTCACTTTTTAATTTCGTTCAAGGTTTTGTGGGCATAGTTTTATTTTGTATTAATTAATTATTTCATTCATTTAGTCAATATACAATTAATTTCATTGCATGCTCCTCTGCATGATAAATTTGTACGTCTACTCAAGGTTTATTCGTCTTTCCCCTGTGTCTTTATTTCGCCAATCCCAACTCACTGATGAGCTCCGGGGATTGACGAAATAATAAGGTTCGTCTGAGGAAGGAGCGAAACGAACCATTTTAATTATTTTGTTTATAATGGTTTTTCTTTTTTAAATTGCCTGACTGCAGCTTATCGAACCTTTCTCGGTCGTTCTAGGGCCTTCTGATGCTGGGAAAGGTATGAACTTTAACGAAAGCAGTGTGTCCATAAACTACTTGAGTTTTTACCCTAGATCCCTTTGCAATCCGAGTAACCCTTCTCTCCCAACACAAAAAGAAAACTGTAGTTATATTTACGTGTATTGCTTATGCACATCTTCGATAAAAAACTGCTTCTAGGAACAATTCTGCCCAATGTTGAAAGAGGAGTTGGGCACGCTCTAAAGAGGCGTAGTCCTACGAGCGCATTACGTGAAATCTGCGTTATCGTCACCAATAATAAGCCAATAACTATAAGTTCTGGCAAATATATGTATGTAATAATGTAATATGTAGTTAGTGATGTTCACGAGTCCAATTATTCGCCTAGTATAGGTCGCAGAAATTATTGATGACAATGAAAATGTGACTTGGCCACA